ACTCTTCCCTAGCTCTATTAAAATAAACAGCCAAATATACTACAATAAATTAAGAAATACCTATTTTTGTAAACTTTGATCAAAGACTAAGGTGTCTAAGATTTTCTCTGAATTATCTTCACATTTTTCAAAATATACTTAACTTGAAACGTTTTTAGATCATGTTCAATTTGGACAGAGTGCACATCATTTTGGATGAAATGGTGCTAAATGGCTGCATCGTGGAAACAAACAGGAACAGAATTCTCGCCCCTCTGTTTGTGCTTGATAAAGTGGCAGAAGGCTAGGAAGATGCAAGACTGCTAAAGCATTTTATAAAAGATGATTAAACCATCAAGAGCATACCAACAACAGTTTTCTGATGTCATAAGACCGACTTATGCAATAGTCCAATTAGTTGGAAAATACTTCCTGTTTCTCCTATACCCTACATACCTAATGGAAAGATGCAGCTACACATAAAGTGGAACTTTCAATTTCAGATGCAGCTTTATTAACCCAGCAAAAGTCTCCCTAGAACAGTCAACATTTTTTTAAAACTGAGGATAAAGCAATGGGAACTTACATGGCCATCTAGGTATTGCTGTGAATTACATTGCTTTGTTCCAGACCTAGGAGAAGACAGAAAATATGGAAATATAAATTCAAACTGAGTTTCAGTGCTTCCTTTAAGCACCAACTTTTTTTTTTTCATACAAGTGTACAGTAAATTAGTAACTTTTAGGACCACTTTTAAACTAGATTAATCCTTCATTAATCACTCCCTTTTCCATGTAAGTCATGGTTACAAAAGAAATGTAAAATAACAGAAGTATAGATGTATTTAGTATTCCTGCATACTATGTAAGTTGTAACTAGAAGTATTTGGCACTTAGTTATAACATTAATAAAAGATAATTACAATCAAAAAAAGTTTGATCATCTTTTACAGTGTTGGCTTCATAAATTACACAAAATCTTTTCTATTTTGGCCCACCAGTGTATTTTTTTCCTTTTGTATATTTTATGCATGCATCACGATTAAAACATTTACAAAAGATGAGTAACAAAAGACATGCCAGTTTCTAAGTACCAGCTAGGTACCAAATCAAATCTTCCTTCTCATGTAGAAGGACGTAGCTACACTAACTTGTATTCACAGGCATACAACATGCCGATTCATACCTGTATACTACACTGTCAGTCACTGAAGAGTTAGCAATCTGAGCATACTTTCACTTACCTTTCTAGAATTAAAGTATCTGGCTCCTTCACAACCTGCACACAAACACTAGGTATAACTCCATATTTAAAGAGCATATACTGAGTGAGCTGTACATGTGAAAGCATGTAATGGTCACTTCTAAATTGCACCTAGAAACCACGGTCTAAGAAGCTGAGAGTGGTGTTATGTGCGAGAATAGTCCACATAGCTTTAAAGTAACAACACATTCAGCAAAGCAAGTTCACATCAGAGCTGGAGCAGATACTTGTACAACAAGGTTTATGCAACGTCTTGTTGAAGCACAACAGTCATAGGAGTGGAGGGTGGTGGAGATTCCCCTTCAATTTTGCATTGGCAAAAAATTCAGTTACGATGCCTGTAAAGTCCTATGAATAATACTCTGAAAAGAAATCTGGCATCAACCTGATTTATATACTGCGTGAGGCAGAATCTTTTGGGAAGCCCTCCCTCAGCAGTGCTCCAAGAAAAGATTGTTATCAAAGAGAACTAGCACAGAACAAAACTTACCACGCAGATTCAACACTAATCGTTTTTTCTGGTATCAAGTACTTAAATATCTTTAAAAGAGATATTAACATCTTGCCATATCTTACTGTAAGCTACTTTTTACCAATACATACCTCACCACATGTTGCAATCAAGACAGGCCCTCCATCTCAAGTAAAACTGAATCAGCTGCATTGTCTGACCCAGTTTTTATTCCAATGTAATGAAGAACTATAACCTCAGGTCACATGGGCCCACTGAAGAGCACCAAAAACCGCCGTATGCAGTGTTACCGCTACCAGACTAGTTCTTAAAAAGTTGCGCTGGGCAATTTTGAATAGATTTGGTAACAAAGATGAGTTTGTGAGATTAATTACTGCTATGTAGTTCTTTTACACCTTGAAAAAAGTATGGTACACTGTTCGGAACATGTCCAGAGATTTAATAGCATCAGAAGTATAAATGAAGTATTCAGAAGAGACAGTTTTATATGTTGCAAACATTTTAATGATTACTTTCGAGCTTACACATTGGGTGTCCTTTTTAAACTTCAAACTGCAACAAGTTAAATAAATGTTTATAATATACAAAGAAAATACAACCAGAAAGTAAAACTTGCTTTAAGTGTGCCTTGCACTAGGAACCAGTGTTTTTTAATAGCTTTATTGTTGAGCTGCACAAACACACTTAAGGATTTGATCTTTATAGCAGGGCATTTCAGAAATCAAAATATATTCCCACTTGAAAGAAAAAAGAAAAAAAAAAAAGTTGTGCATGATTATATGCAAAAACCCACTAAAATGCTCCAATAGTGCAGGCACCATTAAAAAAGAAAAAGCTGGAGATGCTCATTAACTCTAAGTTTTAAGGAAGCAAGTTTCTGACCAGTTAGCTTAAAGCCAGCAAAACAGGGATCAGTGATGGCAACTGTAGTGTACAAGGTATTAAATGACAAACTTTACACAAATACACTGTTAGAAATTTATCAGTGAACACTGAAAATCTGATGATCTGTTCTTTGGAACAGTCAAACAGAACCACCTTAATTTCCAGTTGTGCAAGCCCTTGAAGCATCACACAGTGTTCTGTGCCAATTTCTTGCTGGCTGTGTAGTTACAAGGATTTGTCATTAGCAGCTAACAAACTTATTCCACATGTTCCTAAAGCCTCACAGGTGAAAAAAAAGGCAACTCTCATCAGAGCACAGCGTGGAGATCATATTTTTTGCACACAAACACAAGAGGCTTCGCTAGTATCAAAAAATACTTTCTCATGTCCCATATTGCAGTCAGCAGCTCAGTTGAGATGGAAACCTTTCTCCATTGTAGCAGCTAGCAGACGCTCTCTCATAATCTCCTCGGAAGAATACTCAGGCAGCTTTAGGTAATGCACACATGTATTCACAGATGGGTAACTTGCATCTGTGGCATCAACCTGAGGAAAAGGACGAACATGTTTTACTTTTGTTGTTCACAGCACTTGATATGGAAGTTAAAAGTTGTGATGTCCTCTAATTCATGGCACTTACTGCATACATAACACCACCAGTTGTCAAGAAACAGTGGCATCAGGAAAGCTACAGACCAACTTACAAATATATTTACTTCATATGTACATTAATTCTTTTATATTCAAATATGAAGTCAGAGAATAGACCTGAAACAGAGGTTAGTACTGAAAGCTTACTATAGTATCATAAATGAAAAACAAAAATATTTAAAAAAAAAAAATCAGTGTTATTTTTTCATACAGCAACAATTACATTCAGAAGCCAAGATACTTGTTTTGAAGGGGAACCCGAAGAAGCCATACCTTGCGCACAACAGTTAGCCGGGGATGTAGGTTTGCCAGTCCTCCTGGTGGGAGTGTTGAACAACCGGTGGTGAACTGGAGAAAAGCCTTCCTTTCATCTGAAGACATACCACACAAGACTCTCACAAACCGAAGGAATCCAGGGCTTAAAATAAATTAAAACAATTAGTTATGATAATATTACAAAAGAATGGTTTTTAAATTTCCTTTAACTTGAGACAATACAATTACAATCTTTAGTCACATCTAAGCAATCATTGTAAGATTCTAGTGCCTGTTCAGTATTGAGTTAAGAATTAAACATCATAAAAGCCATAAAAATACTTCTTTAATCTCCTTGCTGAGTATTACACAGAAGAATATAGGTAAATAAGAACTTTCCTCCATACATATCTTAGAGTGTTATTCGGGTATCTTGTATATGAATGGGTAGAGAAATAGAGCTCAAACCCATTCCCTAAGAAGAATTCCACTGACTATAATCTTAAAACTTACTGACTATAATGTTAAAACATTTTCCTGTACCACTTCAATTTATAGATGATTTCCATCCTGTTAAAGACCCTCATGTAAAAAAAAATAGGAAAAAAAAAGTAACAGACTACAATGTATCTTCAAGGAATCCTCCAGATACCACTGCTTTCATCCACACCAGCCCAGGGACTGAGGAAAGCACAACCTCCTGAAACACGCCCTCAGGTATCAGGCACTGTAATCTCAGCTGCACACAGCACCTTAGACTGATTAGGATCCTCCAGCGTGCTTATACTAACACAGTTCCAGAGGTAATTTGTATGTTATTGCTATCAAACATGACAAGCAGCAAAAAACCCTAAACCCAATAAACCCCAACACATCAAAACCACCTCCTGATAGCCAGTGACTGGTAGATTTATTCCCTGCGTAGTACATTTTCAACTTACACTTGAAGAGAAAGAAATAAAGGACATGTAACAACTATACCCAACTGAACACTAAAAATGAAAGAAAGAACTCTAAAATGCTATTTTTAATAGCCTGTATTAGTTAGCTGCCATTACATTTCCACTAGTTGTTCACATTTTAATATTTAAAATTTTTTATCCTCTCTCATCTCAAAAACACCAAATACCTTCTAACCTATCTGCTGGAATATACATGGTTATTTAACGTAGTTTTAGACAGTCACTTGCTCTTCAGTGATCACCAATCCCATCCAATTTGGCGTCTTCATCTAATGAACATTCTGGACATTTTGTCACTTAACATATCTTTTAGCTACTATTTTAAAATGTCTCAGAATATAAGTACCTATCTCGTGTATATCCGAGTTTAGGTTCAGTGTAATTTATGATATCCTCAGCTGCCCAAGAAGGCGATTGATTTCCACAAAGAATCATCTGAACTTCTTCATGGCTGAAGGAACTTAGCTTCTCCATTGGAAAGACTCTGTTGAAGCCATCTTTAATTTACACAAGACACAGTTACAAAAATGAGTCAAAAGAATGTTTACAAAATAATATCAGCATTTCTATTATATTTTAATCAAGCCAGAATCAATCAACAGTTTCTTAATTAAGGTAAATAAAACCTCTTCAATTTTAAAAATGGCATAACAAATGCAAAGGTGTTATCAAATTAGTATCTTATCTATTGCAGTCTTAATTTGTTTTTGAAAGCCACCACTTTAAACCAGTACACCCTGAACACCAATTAGTCCGCGTAACTGCATATATATTCTGCTACATTTAAAATTACCTCTGAATGCCTCCATCTGTTTCTGTA